TTCTGGCGGATATCTTACAAAGACACTACCATAAGATCCTGTAAAATGGTAAGCTCTACATTCACCATCACAATGTCAATAATTTTATTCCTATGTTTCTATTGGCATCTTATTATCAAAATTGTTTGATTTGTTTAGAATTATAATTGATATTTTAACGATATGATTTTGGGTTTAATCAATATATATATATATATATATATTGAGTGACAAATTGGTTTTTGGAAGGCTAACTTTAGAGTGCATAATTCTATATATCAATATGCAGGAATAAATGTGTTAAGTTTGAGCCACAGATCAGAATGACTAGCATGAGAATATGGTCGGTCCATCCAAGCCCAAAAGTCGTTATATGTCCAGATCAGCCCACTTTTTACAAGGATGATATTAATAAAATAAAAAAGAATTAAGAGAAAAATGTAGAATGTATTTTTAAAAAAGTGTATGAGTCTAGATTTTTATCTCTTATTTTTAATTAATACTCTTTTATTAGTATAATTATTTGACTAAAAAAACTATTAATCATGAGTAAGATGTAAAAACTCTGACCTATACACTTTTAAAAGGTATTTGTCTCCGTTTCCTTATTATTAAAAAAAATGATAATGAAAATTAGGGACTTGAATGCATTTTGGACCTAAGCACTATGTCCGATCGGATGTTTAAACGCTTGGAACTGGGCCAAAGAGTCGGGCACCGGGTCAGCCCATTTGGCTAGGCCCAAAATTGCTTACCCTAGCACGGATGTACTCTAGCATGGATATATAAAAAGAGAAAAGGGGATAAATACCTTAGAGTTTAGGATTTTTATTTTTTACTCTTAATTAATATTATTTTTAGTTAAATAACTATATTTGTGAAAATTGTATTAATTAAGAGTGAGGAGTAAAAATCTAGATCTATGTATTTTAAGAGTAAGTTTAATAATTTGTCTATGTTATTGTATTAGAAGAGGGAGGGAGCAGTAACTTTCACAATTCACTGTTGAAACTTTAATTAAGCTATTTTCTTTTAAAATAAATTTCTTAAAAATCCAATGTAACTTTTTTTTTATAACAAAAATCCAAAATAACTTTTGTTTTAAAGAAATGCATCCCATTATGCATCCAAATTAAATACACACCTAGATTATTAAAAAGTTGCAGGCTCAGAGCTTCTAGACGTGCTTTTTATTATATACAGAGGGCAGTAATGTATTTGGCAAAAACATGTGTATACCACAGAAAGCGCAAGAGCACTAGTTGTGGCATTAGATGGACCCTAGATGTATTAATGCATTTAGTTTCATATTTGGCACATATGAAATTCCGTCTTAATTCTTTAAAAGGCAAAAATAAAAATAAAAAATAAAAAATAAAAGAAAGAAAGAAGTTCTATGTCTTACCGAACTTAGTTCCTTGAAATTTTGCAGGCAATTGTGTGATTCTTTCTATGATGGTAAATAGATAGCAACATATTGAAAGAAACCATTTTTGCAATATTCTTCATCTTTCAAGGATTAGATGAACTCCAGAAGTTTATGATGCTTGAAACGGCAAAATACCACCCAATGCACATAAAAGCCTAACTCGTTCAGTTCTCCCATTTCAATTTTTAATTCTAATTTAATACAGTAAAAAAATTTTACAAAAATTACATTTAATTTTTTCTATTATAGTTAAAATTTTCACAAAAAGTTACGTGCTCAAATTAAAAATTAGAATCGAAGAACTGAACGAGAGGTAATAAAATGTGGTTTCAAAACCCAACTCAAAATAAAGAAATAAATAAATTGGTTTTGATACTTGATTGTAGGCTTTACCTTCTAAAGACGGGAATGCAGGCACATACATTGTTACATGGCCATATTCCTACATATATCCTCCACGAAAATATACCTAATTTTTGGTGAGACCAAATCCACAAATCCCATTATAAATAAATAAATAAATAAAAGGTTGATCCCGTACCACACAAATGATGAGATCTGCTAGTGGGTCAATTTATTACATGTTTGAGTGGAATGCCAATTACTCCAAGAGCACAACAAACTTTAGAGTAACTACAATTTTGATACCGTGAATATTAGTTGTCTCATTTTATTCCCTAAATTTTCAACCGACACATTGTTATTATCTGAGTTTAACAAATGTTGCACTAATGGTATATTTGCGAGAGAATTGTAAAAAATTGGATGGATTATAGAAGCATCATTTGCCGTGAACGACCTAATTAATCCAACCAGCCTAACTCATTATAACTTAAAACGCTACTAACCTCATCAAGAGATTAACTTAATCCACCTAACTCGACTATTGATTGAATGAATTTGAATTGAATTTTCCTAACCCAACTTAACTCGAATCTGCCCAATCTATTGATGCATATAAATAAATATTTTCCTATCTCATAAAAAATTATAGTTGTCCTATATTTTACATTAATTGCATGGTAAGTTTTACGTTGTATGAGTTTTTTTTTTTTTTTTTTGTTAGTTTATAACTTATATATTCGCACTTCTTTTGCATGTATTTTATTTTTAGTTGATTTATAACTTATGAGACAATTTTAAAACTTTATGAGTTTATATTATTGATGAAGGTTAGTTTTCTTTTCATATATCTTTTATTTTAAGTTAAATGGTTTTTTTTTTTTTTTTGTGATTTTGTTAAGAATTTTCAACTAGTTCAACCCACCCAATCTATCCAAATGTTTATTGGGTGGGTAAATTTTGATATCAACTCACCCAAACTTAATCGAGTGGGTTAAAAATTTTAAAAAATCTATCAAACTCACCTGATGTTCACTCCTAGTACAAATGATTTAGCAAAGGACATTAACAACAATTTTTTTAACTCCGCCCAATCACATGCATCTCACGTGCTTAGATCTGTCCATTTTTTAACGCTTTCTGTCGTGGAGGTACCATTAATGCAATGTTTGTTAAGCTTTGATACTATTAATATATTGGTTTAAAGTTTAGGTGTAAATTAAGACAATTAATATTCCTCGAGGGATAACAAATGTAAGTGAGTTTAGTTTAAGAATTCGTGTCATGATTCAAATCATGATTCGTGTACATAAATTAAAAATAATTTTAAATTCATCAACCAAACGTCGTCATCATAATTAACCATGAGTTTAAAGACCGGCATTTTATAACATACTCACCTAAAAAAAGTTGAGTAAGAACATTAGTCAAAAGGATTAAGAAAGGACAATAGTTATTTTCTTCCAGTTCCGGGTGAGCTGTGCCTTAACTTTATGCATAAATAAAAGGCCAATAATGGCTAATGGCTCAGTTTCCGTATAGCGTAGTTGTCCCACCAGTTCAACAAAAAAATATTAACAAAAGACAAGACTTTTTCGATTTGTTTAATGGCTACGATTCCTTGTCCAACAAAACCACCATTCTCTCCGCTGCTAGATCCTCGTTTTTACTGAAAATCTCATCCATCAACCCCAACAACCGACCTTGACAAGCAACGCGTCACCGACACATCCGTGTCGGCAACGCAACGTTCTCTTCACAAAAATAAAAATTTTTTTTTTTTTTTGCTTGTTAGGATTTTTTGTTTTTGAATTTTGTACCTAATATTCTGAGAAGTAAAAAAATAAATATTCTTCAAATTGTCTTGCCAGTTTCCAAATTCACGTTACAAATTATTTTTATTTTACGTGTATTTTTTATGAGAAAAAAATATTATAAAAAATCATAAATCATGATTCAAAATTAAAAATGAATACACGAAATAAACATCTCTTAAATCATTGCAATATGTTTCATTTTTTTCTTCTTAAGCAAATTTAGTAGTCTATATAGATATTTTAGTGTTTTTGGATTAGGATTTAGTGATATTGGATTTTTGATCGGAGGTACGCTTTTGTGTTCTCATATAAGGTGGCTTCCTGTTTGTTAAAGATAAAAATTCTAAATAATTTATTTATTTTTGTAATTTAGGTCATCTTTCCACTTTATCTCGAATTTAAAAAATAATCTTTGCTCTTCTTGAACTTCAAAAGGTTAGCAAATTCGCCTTCCAAGTTGATAGAGCTTAAATGTGAAAGAAGAAAATTTATAAATCCTCTGAAGTTTAAGTCACTTTTTCACTTTGCCCTCAAAAATTTTATAATGTTTGCAAATTTGTCCACTTCTTCACTAGAATGGATGAAAAAGCTGACATAACACTGAATTTGAATGATTAAAATCTAATTTAAGATGGAAACTCTTATTATTAGGGAAAGTAATATAAAAAGAATAACACTAGAGACACGAATTTAAATCATAACTCTTGTGTATTAATTAATTTGGCATGTAAGTTGTCATTTTTTTCATTAGAAGATGTTTAAAACATTGACACGTCAATTAATGAAAGAGATTGCATCCAATCTACTAATAAAAAAATGACAACTCATGTGTCATATTAGTTAATACATATTAGTTAATACGTGCAACCAAGCAATCAACTTTACTAATATGCATATGCAATTTTTAGACTAGGAAAAAAAAAAACCCCAACAAATTTTTGGTTTTTTTTTTTTTTGAAATCTTTTGAATACAATTTTTCAATGATTTTGTCTTCAAATAATACTTAAATATAAGTTATTGAAAATATTTTTGGCATCTTATTAATAGGTCAAAAGATTTCTTTATTCTATATTTTAAAAAACATAAAGGATATTTTTTGATCAGTTAAAATCTATGAGATATTTGTACTATTTTGATGAAACTCGAGGGATATATGCAGTATTTTGAAGAAATTTGGGGGATGGTTTTTGAATTTCCTCAAATTTAAGACAAATAAAAGAATATATCAGTTTCCCATCCAACTTTCCCTAATTTACTCAAATTTACTCGAATAACTCAATATATATATATATATATATATTTATATATCATTAACCCAAGAAAGGAAAGAAAAAAATATATATATCAATTTCCCATCCAATTTTCCCTCCCCATCGTCCATTGCCCTTTCCTCGTTTTTATTTTTTTGGTAAGTAAGCCTTTTCTGGTTTCTGTTTCTCTTTTCCCTTTCCCAACTCATATTTTCCCATCTCAGTTTCCTCCGTATTCTCTCCCCTTCCCTCTAGCTCCACCACCACCACCGACGAGACTCGACTCGACGAGACACCATACACCGTCGTTTCCAGACCAAAACATGGCGCGTCGTCTCTTCGCCTGCTTCGGCAAAAGCGCCTCGGCCGCGACCACAAGCGACAGAATCGGCACCGCCGACGTGGCGGCTGAGGAGCAGCGGCGCGGCGGCGCGGTGCTGGTGGAGCTCTTCTCGTCGCAGGGCTGCGCCACCTCGCTGGAGGCGGAGCTTCTGCTGTCGAGGCTCGGGAGGGGGGATTTCGACGAGATGGGCCTCCCGCCGGTGATCATCTTGGCCCATCATGTCGATTACTGGGACTACATGGGCTGGAAGGACCCCTTTGGGTCTAGCCTCGCCACCGTCAGGCAAAAGGCCTACGTCGAGGCCCTTAAGCTCGATACGATATTTACGCCCCAGGTCGTGGTCCAGGGTAAGGCCCATTGCGTTGGGAATGATGAGAATGCTTTGTTGGGTTTGATTAGGGATGCACCCAGATGCCCTGCTCCCACGTTCCAGGTTTGAATTTCTTCAATCTACAATTTGGAATCGTCAAATATGTTTTATTTGCATTTGTGCGCCTTTTTTTTTTCTTTTTTTTTTGTGATCTGCTGTGATTTATGTGAATTTGGTATTTTTGAACAGTTGGTTATGGGGATTGTAGAAAATTTTGTGAAATTGGGTGTCTGAATTGGTGATGTCAAGAGGATTTGAAGGGAGGAAAGAAAAAATGAGGAAAAGAGAAACATGCAAGAATGACCGTCGATAAAGTGAAATTTTATTTGACCGTCGATAAAGTGAAATTAATAAAATGATCTTCTTCATTTTTAATGAATAACGACTATTCGGTTTTTATTTTTTTTATAAAAAATTATCGTTTCTAATTATTCTGTATTCATTTTACAAATAAAAATTTTTAAAAAGTTATTTTACTAATAAAATTTTATAAAGCCTTAGATGAACTTATGTTTTGAATCAATTTTTCAGTAGTCTTCCTTAGCTGTAATTCGATATAAAATAAAAATTGGAATAGCATGTCATGTTATTGCCATGTGTACAGGTTTTGGCCAAATATTTATAAAAAAATAAAAAAAAATGTGGCAATTTCTCTCATATTTTGCATATTTACCCCCTAAACTTGCGAGAGTTTGGCATTGTCCCTCCAACTTGCAGAACAGTTGTATTGTGCCCCTTCTATTCATTTTGCTACGATATTTGTCAGACTTAAGGGATTGAGAGTTAAAAATTGATAAATTTTTGTTACTAGTTGAAAATTCAGGTTTTTGTCCTTTTAGAATGAAAATATTGTTAAATCCGCTGCTGAGAAGAAAAAAACTTCACTTGTGCCAAACGTGTAAATTGTTCTTGTAAAAGCTTTTGTTGTTCCTTGTTTTCATTGTTGTTTCATTTCCTTCAAAAACAAAATATATGTTTCATTGTTAAATGAAATGTGAGACCATAATCGCTGTGTATAGTATATACTATGGGCATGTTTGTTTCATCATATTAAAGTACAGTATTGTATAATAATATAATATTTAGTGTGACTATCGTATTATATAAATTAATACGATGATAAATTAATACGGTCTATGTCGTATTATTGAATACTGTTCATTTTTAACATATTGTATTGTATTATTTAATAGTAGATTAATAATTTATATCAGAGTTGGGCACGATTAGATGTCAAGATCGGGCCAATATAAGAGCATGCCGGAACCTATAATTGTTGAAAAATTTAGGGAGCACTATACAAATTTTATATATATAAAAATTATATTTTGACCTTATAATTTTTGTAAAATTATATTTTGACCCTAAAACTTTTGTAAAATTACACTTTTACCCCACCCCAAAACTTTTGAAAAATTATATTTTAACCCCAAACGTTTTTAAAAATTACATTTTTACCCCAAAATTATTTAATTTTTACAATTTGACCCTTATACAATACATCATGACACCAAACACCGTATTGTATTATGATAATACAACACAATATAATACACCTTATACAATACAATACAAGTAACTAAACGTAGTCTATATGTAGAGCTATATTAACCATTTTGTGGGTCAACAAAACAGGCAACTTTCCGAAGACCTTCACCAGACTCCCTACAAGTCTCCTTAACAGGCGCTTTGAGGACAAAGGTGGACAACTATGGCGCCAATGTGATGGTGGCCTTATATGAAAACGGGCTGGTGACCGACTGCGCTAGAGGAGAGAACAAAGGGCGTGTCCTTTCAAATGACTTCGTTGTCAGGAAACTCGAAAAGCTCTGCACCGTCAAAGACGTCTCAGCCAAGAAGATTGTATCAGGAACTGTGAACTTCCCTCTCTGGGAAGGTTTCCACGGAAGCAAATGTAGCGTCGTTGTCTTTGTCCAGAGCACTTCTCATCAGGTCTTGGGCTCGCAGAACTTCGAATTACCTAACGAGATATGAGATTTTGAATGCATTGCAGAACTTGCCTGTTCTAGTTTGCCATGATTACACGATTCAACTCTCATCTTAGGGTCATTTCATGTACAGGATGTGTTCTTTTTTTTTTTTTCCTTTAGGATACGGATTTGTTTGCTTCTCATGATATTCTTGTTATTCTGGGATGGCGTAGTGAATTGGTTTAGGGATCGGGAGAGAAATTTGCATTGATGCTATACACTTTCATCATTTGACTCATGGAGAAATTGAGTTGTAATAGTTTTATTGCCATTTTTATATTGCTTTTCTCTTTTCATCCTCCGGAGAATACTTAATGGTAGGACACAGTTTAACTGTTAAATTTTTACTAAAGTTTCGTTAAATTATCACGAGTATGATTCTAATGTGTTTGACGGTTAAAAACTGTATTACAGTAGAGAATACTTAGCAACTATTGGGAGAAAAACATTGAAAAGATAAAAAGAGAGGGCCATTTCACTTGAGTCTTCTTTCTCCTGTTCATTTTCTGCTTCCACTGAAGAGAAGGCTTTTGTAACTTTTTTGTTGAATGCACGCTATTAAGTTCCAAGTAATGTAAAACTGACAATTTAAAGAGCATAATCTTTTCCAACAGAATTGCTTCATTCTCATTGACAAACATAAAAGGGACAAATCTCATTATTTTCATAGGCAGAATTCACTATCTACAAACAGGAGGTCAATCCCAGGAAACAGGAAAATCAGACCATGACCCCCATGTTTCTCATTTCACAAAAAATTGGCATCAATTTTTTTTTTTTTTTTTTTTTGGTTCTACATAACAACACTAGGCTACCAAAACCATTTTTCTTTCCACTCCCCCACCACCTTATCCAAATATTTGTTGCTTGGAATGGATTTTACAGCAATCTGATGTTCCATCAGGGCAAAAACATTGTGAAAAAATTAAGAGCAAGTTCACAACTTTACAACGAATCCACTGCTTCGATCTGTTGCCGAGCAAGGTATTTCTCCCTACGCTCTTTCTGCAAAAGATAAAGGAAGAAAACTTGATAAGGGATGTGAAGGGGGCCAAAAAAAAAAAAAAAAAACTTTGTTAAGAGAGCATTATGCAGGATAGTTAAAACATACCCATTCATCTATAACAAGACCTTCCCCAACTACACGTGGCCCTGCGTCTACCGGAGGTTTCTTGCGCGCTTCGAGTGCAGCCTCGGCTTCAGCCAATTGGCGTTTCAGTTTCTCCAGAGCCTGAAAACACCACACTATCATTGAACACCCATCCTATATTGCACAAAACCAATTACATGGCTACAGAACATACTATTTTCAACTTACAGGACTAGGACGCTCGGTGTCTAAAAACACAACGCGCAAAATCCGCTCAACTACAACGTCGTCTTTTTGTTCTTCAAACTACGTAATTCAGATACGATAATCATGAAGGCAGTTAATATCATTAAGCAAGTGCCACCAAAGTACTAAAATCATGGACATGTTGACTCGTGCTTACCAGCTCAGGCGCATACTCCGTATCTTCTTTTACTTTCAGACTCATGATTTTGAACTTAACCTTTGTCTTCTGATCCAAATGTTTTTGGCTGTTCTCGGGGTGTTCCACAAACCTGAACACTGAGAATCCGATTCATATTAACATGTAAGAAAAACAGTTTCTTTGGTTTCAATAAAGGAGAATTCTGCGGTACCAATGATTAAATAAAAAGGTATATTATGTTAATAGAACATGATAAATATCTAAAGTTAAAAACTGTGTCCTACAAGTAAGGTATTTTTATATTATATCAAACAATTCTCCATTAAAACATTGAGAACACAATTTTTCTTTCACTACAAGCAAAAGAAATTATATGTTAAATGTTGTGCAATATTGAACACTGAGAATAAGTTTCATAGTAACATGCAAGAATACCCTTTTTCTTTTTCGGAAAGAAGAATACTGTGGTTAAGATGATTAAGGGAATTACGATAATTTAAAAGCACTTGACGAAGATTTAATGTCAAATGTTGTGCATGATTCGAGTGAGTTAATAAAGGGCTAAGTGCAAGTTATTACCAGTTGCGATTAGGCTTTCTCCAGGAGCTAGGATTCCACCAGGAGGACACATATAACAGCTTTTTGGTGCAGTCGTTTGAAACTATATTTAGCAGGACAAAGTAAACCAGTTACTTAATAGCATTTTAATTATTATTATTTATAGCATTATAATTATTGACCTTATACATATAATCCAAAGATAACCCATTAAAGCCTTATTGAAAAGGGGCAAAGAACTTGTTTGAATGGCGGTTCATAACTTAAGGAAATTGGAACAATCATTGAGTGGATTATAGCTAAACAAAAAGGGTCCTTTAGTGCGTGTGCATATACTTACATATATATATATATATATATATATACATATGGACATATATGTATATATGTATGTATGTATGTATGTATGTATGTTTGCTTTTCCTTTCTTGATTTTCATAAACAAAAGTGAATTAAACTTAAAAGCTCTCAATAATCAAAATGCTTGTTTTTCATAAACGACAATGAAATTCATATTAAAAAAAAAAAAAAGAGCCCAATTAGTTGAAGAAATCTCAATACCTTAAAAGCCACGTGTGACCTGCTTGTGTTCTTTAACCTGATTGCGCTCTTGACTTGTTTCCCAGGTTCGTCTATTATTATCCAAAATGAGAAAAAAAAAATTAGAAAAATAAAATAAATACACTATCATTCTTCACATGAGAACTAATATAAAACTTGGAATTTTCATTTTCGAAAAAGAAAAGGCTATCAGAAAACGAAAAAGAGAAAAAGCTCTCTTTCTTTCTTTATACTTTTGGAAAACACTATTTGCTTTCATCAGCAGGGGGAAAAAAAGGAAGAAAAAGGTAATTTGCTGCAAAAAGTAGAACAGAAAAAAAAAAGTGTCTTTGGAGGTTAAACAGAAAAATACTGATAACAAAAACCGAAAAGCCAAAATCTTTAATGGAAAATCCAGTATTTAATCGAAATTAATCACAAAACGACGACGTACAAGGGAAGTAAAGGTTGTTCGCAGGGTCGAGCCTTAGCCTCCGGCGAGGCGGCAGAAGCGATCTCGCGACGGACGACACCGTTTTGGGCCTGGGCTTGGTTCCGACAAGGTTTCGGCTACTCTGGCTCTGCAAATTCCTCGCCGACAACGAAGACGACGACGTTTGGCTCCCCGGCTGCCAGAACGGACACAGCCTAAAGAGCTTCATGTCGGAGTGGGTCCGAGGGTGGTGATCCACGACGGCCATGCTTCCACGTGGCGGATTATTACTCGTCAGTGACTCAATTTCCCGTTTCTCTAGAATTCTCTCTCTCTCTCACTCCCTGGTCTGGTATTGCCTAAACCTTCTGGAGTTCGAAGGTTGAAGATGACGAGAACATATATCGGTTTTCGGATTTGTTTGTCGGTGCACGACTCTATTTTAGATGTCCTACGCCTGGTTACGTGTCATAGTGTGAATAGAGCGGGTCACGTCGGTTTTCTGTTCGGACAGTGACGTGGCACTGCTTTTTCCCGTTTGGCGTTTTTGCATCCTATCAGGGGTCGTTGAGATCACAGATTACTACTAAGCAAACGAGTCCCCTTTGAGCGGGGGGGGGGGGAAAAAAAAAAAAAAAAGCCAACGAATTCCCTCTCCCGTAATAATGCGCTGCGGTCGGCTTTACTGTACTCTTGTGCGCTCACAGACGTTTCGGGTTGTGGTTGGTTGGAGATTTGTGGGTCGTGGTTATGTATTGGTTTAGATTATGGCTTAGTTTGGTAGTGATGTAAATTTAAAAAAAATTATTTTTAGCTATGTTGAAGGAAGAAGTAACTGTTATAAAAAATAGCAGAATCTTTAATAAACTATAATTAGTAATTGTGCTGGTTCTAAAATCAGCGTAATAGCGTTTGGTAAATTATGAGATTGAATTACTATTAATAGTTAAAAATTACGACTATATTATAATATAATACAATATAATATATAATTACAATATAATATCTATTTATTATTATATTTAATATAATAAAAAAACTATTATTATATAATATATTATATTATGATATACAATATAATAATATTATTAAAATAATAACTGAAATACTTAAAATAACGATTATAATATAATTACAATATTATAAAACATATTATAATAATACATAAAAAATATTAATATTTCAGTTATAATATAATTAAAAATTATAACTATATTATTATTATTAATATAATAAATATAATTATATCAATACAATATAATATATAATATATTATAAAATAATAATTATAATATCATATTATAATTATAATATCATATTATTAAAATAATTTTAATATTATTTTAATATCGTATTATATGATAAAATAATAATATTTGAGTTATTAATATAATTATGATATTATTTGTTACAATATTACTCTTATATTATATTATATTATATTATGAGTCTGAATTTTAGATTATGAAGATTGTCAATTTTAAATTTTATTAGGGGTATTATGGGTATTATGAAAGTTTCATTAATCTTACTATGTTGATTACTACACAATCTAAAAGTTAAATTTTCTTTAGAGTGCTTCTAATTTTGACTGTAGATTCTTAAAAAATTCTTCAAAAAAACTTTTAAAGAGATTTATCAAATACTAAAATCAGCTTATGCTATAAGTAGAAGTTGATTTTAGGATAGAAAAGTAATATCAAACTAAGCCTACGATGGAAAAAAAAATGAAAGTGTATCATTAAAATCATGAGTTATAGTTCACTTAAAAAAAATCATGAGATATGAGAGAAAAAGAATAAATTCCATTGATGCAGCCGTTGAAACTATTATGATGGAGACTGAAATAAATTTCAAGATATTATTGAAATTCTATTTGGATAATTATTGCTTAATAAATACACACAAGAATACGGGAAAGCCACTAATTCATTTTGCTCATCAATAATGTGGTATGTGACGATATCATTTAATTCATATAAATTTGTGCGTTTATTGTAAAGGCACTTTTAACGATTGTTTTTAATTGTATTCTATAATTGGTCAAACAGAATGGAATTACTAATTTAGTTGGGGTGGGTATGGGGATTTCAATGAAGTTATTGTGAATTAGGTGATTTTATTTTTTGAATCTTTAATTCCTTTTGTTTCTTCAACTTGTTATTTGGGATGTTTTTATGAGTAGATTGGTGCGGTTTTTTATAGGACATTTAAAATGGTCGGTTGTGTTAGTTGGTAAGTATTAGATTGGAAGTTAGGAATTTATTAGGTGAATAATGACCTCGTAAAGGTAGTTGTGTCACCCATTGTGTCCGAGTCCCTCAGGAAGAAGTAAAGATTTCATTGGACGATAATTTTCTCTTTCAAAAAAAAAAAAAAAGTGTGTATGTCCTTATTTTATTTTATTTTCATTTTTCTCTCAACTTCAACTTGTTATTTACACTATTTTTGGTCCCTTTCTATTTTTTTTAATTATAAATAGGAATGTTTTTTTTAGATGGATGATCAAAATATTGATCTAGAAAACAATTAAAATGCCAAAGTGATGAATTGCTGAATACCACTCTAAAACATAGTATATTATTTTAAAGAAAGCGTGTACTTATTATGCATATCATTTTATTTTTTTCAAAAAGGACTTACTATGCATATAATTGGGCATGAACATTTATAGAATTCACCATAAAATCCTATTTTTGAAGAAAGCAAGAGAAAATAGAAAAAGAAAGAACAACCTATGAGCTACAAAGAGTTCTACTTTTCAAGATAAACATCTACTTAATAGGCCAACCATCTCCAGCTACTACACCAAGTAACAATAATAATAATAATAATAACTTCGTTGCAATAAACCACAAAACAAATATCCACAAAAATCATCAAAAAAATAAAAATAAAAATAAAAAAGAGAAAATCTAATTGGGTCCCCAACAAATCAGGTGTAGGAGATTCTCAGCTTTCTCTTTCCTTCTCTTCTCATCAAGGTTTGCCCTCTTACTAGTACTCTTATTGCCATAAGGTTCTGTGCTTGGCACAATATTTCTCTTGGGCTCCATGCTCTTGAAGGCCGTTTCAAACCTGCATACTTTCCCATTCCCACTCATATTTTCTCTCACTTTCCGGGAAAATTATTCAGAGATAAGTGAAGAAAAGGGACCTATATGTAAAGGTTGTTTTGGAGGTATATATAGAGTTGCTGAAGAATGAAATTTTTTTGGTCACAAAATCAAGGTGCTTGTTTCTTACTTAGAAAAGCATGTCAGCTTAAGTTCATAAGAATATATAGAGTAGTGCCAAAATGCAAGGCTTAAGTTTTTTTTTTTTTTTTTTTTTTTCTGGAGTTTTCTAGACAGTGGGTTTTGTTTTTCTTGAAGAAACTGGGGTTGAATTTGACAGATCATAGCTCCCAGGTTTCTGGGTTTCAGTGGTTTTCCCAATCCCGGCGGTTGTTTTTTTTTTTTTTTTTTTTTTTTTTTTTGGGGAATATTTAATCGTAGAATCTAAAACGTGGTTATTAATTAAGAGTAAATTACTTCCTTTTTGTTTTTGGTGTTTCGCTAGCGTGAGCACACGGTTTTGAACGTGTTGATTTCTTGGACATAGTGAACGGAATTATATTGTCGCCAACTGTAATTCTATTATAAATAAAAACTACTGACCACTGGAGTAGATGTGTCATTTGGACGAGCCGTATATGAACGGTCCGACCCAACATGCTACAGTAATTAATTTAGTATGGTCTGGTTTTGTATTGTTATGGGTCGGCTTGATCCGGGGAGTAGATGTGTCATTTGGACGAGCCGTATATGAACGGTCCGACCCAACTTGCTACAGTAATTAATTTAATATGGTCTGGTTTTGTATTGTTATGGGTCGGCTTGATCCGACTTGTCAAAAGGGCCTGAGGCATGCCCAGATACGGTCCAGGCACGACCCAAGCCCGCCAAGGCCCAAACAAGCGAAGGGCTAGGCACAGCCCAGGCATGCGAAGGGTCAGGCCAACGACATTAAATTTTAATGAGATTTGAGGCATTTTAAGGTCAATTGGCCGATCTATGATGTCCGGTCAACCAGTCATTTTCTTATAATTATTTATATTATTTCAATAAAATCATATTTTTTAGGGCATATGATATATTACTTTTGTTTTTTGTCATCAAATTTGAAATTATAAAAAAATCCTAAAAAAATCATGAATCATAAGTGAAACTCAAGTGCATTAAGAAAATTAGGCTAAGATTGAGTTTAGTCATAACAAAATCTTCTGGAAGCACTTAGGTTTGTAATTTACTTATCTTAGAATACTGCACTCTTTTTCCTTCACTAAGATTTTGTCCCGATCTCTCCACGAGTTTTACTTGGCAAGGTTTTTAACGAGGCATTCATTTATGTGTACTTATTCGTATTATCTCAATTCAATAAAATCATATCTTTTAGAAGCATATGATATATTTTCTTTTATTTTTAATTAAATATTGCAAAAAAAAATTTAAAAGGGCCTAGGCCCTGGCCCGGCCCTAGCCCTTATGGACTAGGGCCAATGCTGGGCCTGAGAGTTTCTCCTCAGGCCCGGCCCTAGCACGGCCCAAGCCCACCATGGGCCTGGGGTTAGAAGGGCCGTGCCCGGCCCGATATAGCCCTTTTGACATCTCTATATTGGAGGAGCACTGCAAATTTTTCTATACAATAAAATATAGGTTTTTTTTCATGAATGTCCCCTCAATTACTTGGGTTTGGCAAATCAGTCTTTTAAGTAAAAATCTTGACAATTGATCCCTCTAATGTTAAAATTCAACATTATTCGTTGCAATAATAGGTCCAATCGAAAATGAGATCAAATTTTTTAACGGTTTTCTGCCATGTTACTCGAACGAGACATTTTATTGAGGGCGGCCTGAGTCTTTTTTTCCTGGAATTGGACCTTCTATGAACAATAATCTCACCCTCTCATGGTGAATCCAAGGATGATCATCAACAATGCAGGTGAATGAATTTTGTTCATGAGGGTCTAATTTGAGGAAAGAATATCTACGTCATCCTAGATAGCTAGTGGGTCACATGCGAGTCATATACAAAAAAAAAAAAAAAAAAAAAAAAAAAAAAAAAAGGAAAAAAAAAAGATTAACTTCATTATGAAAAGGATTTTGAAGTTTAATGGGTCAATCGTCAAGATGTTTAGTTTAGAACTGATTTACCAAATGCAAGAAGCTCACCTAAAATATAACATTGTCACATATAAAGATGATACATGTCTTATCATATCTCACACTATCAAGATGAATGAGATGCGGATTTGAATTAAAGCGATTTTTTTTTGTAACTGTAAAATCTATAAAAAAAAAAAAGAAAAAGAAAGAAAGATTAATATTTTACATCACTCAG